ATAATAGCAAAGTTTACATTTCTGACTGCGTAAGTAAGAGATTTAGGCTCCAACTACTCATTTTACTTACCAGCCGTCCATAAATGGCGACGTGAAGGCGAGATACATATACGAGTTATCGACGCTGCTGAGAGCGGCGAAATGTTGCCAGCTGCCAGTGTATTTGCACACTTTTGAACAAATTCATAATTTTCGTCAACGAATTTCACAATTTATATGCTTGAATATAAACACAAATCATGATCTATATGGTAACAGATGATTAGTTACGCATTTAGTTTTCATTTCTTTTGAAAAACACTGTGGATTATCATCGATTATTTAATATTACTTTAAGAAATCCTATATTTGCAACCCTGTATAGCAACGAGAAATGAGTCGAGCCGGTTTTNATTTTATTTTATTTTATTTTATTTTATTTTATTTTATTTCATTTATTTATTTATTTATTTTTTATATTTCCTTTTCTTCTAATCCATTATTTTTTGCATCTATTGTTTATAGACATAATAAAACAAAAGTGAACATTTTCCAATTTCCGCACAGCAACATAGATATGTTCATATGTACTCATATGTTCAGCTGCAGGCTGTGGAAAGTTCTTTCTTTCAGCATATTTTACATTATAATGTTTGTAACAACTATATAAATGTATATACATATCACGCACTCACACCAGCATACACACCATTGTGACACTAATGAAATATCAAAAATTTACAATGGTAAAAAAAAAAAAAAAAAAACAAACCAAAAAAATTTAAGCAAAAACTAAAACCAGAAAAATGAAACCAAACATCTGGCAGTCTTTTGTAACAGCGACACTAACTAACGCGAATAATAGTTGTTGCAATAATTGTTGCAGCATGAGACAAAGAAAATACACGCACACACGAGCATATATGCAAAAAATAGTCTCATGAAAGTGTAAAATAGAACGAATACAGAGGGGAGAAAAAATAAATAAAAAAGCGAGCGCTAGAAAAACAGGAAAACTCAGCATTGCTTTTGGGCGAAACTGACAACGCAGCATTTGAAATCGAACAATAAATGTTCAACATACTAAAATCTGCATACGAAACTGAATAAAAAAATACTAAAAAGCTCGACTTAAACACACAAAAAATTTTAATATTTAAGGGTTTTCCTAAAGTTTTTCTCTTTTTTTAAATGAAAATCCTTAAAGTTTTATTTGGAGCTAAATGAAAAATCGTCTCACTTTCGTTATTAAAGCCAAAAATATTTTAAAAAATTTTAATTTTTTAAACTTTTTCTTAAATCCTACAACAGCTTGGGATAGAAACGCTAATAAACTTAGAAATCTCAAACGAAATATTTTAGATTTTAAACGCGTTTGATATGTACTGAGAGAAATTTACATGCATACATTTGTGTGCTTAGTAACGAATTTACTTCAAAAACCTCTTAAATATTAAAGTTTTAATCTAAACTCATTATGTAAGTCAGCCATGTTTTTAAAATATCCGATTCAAATAATTTTGACTGTCTTTACTTCCCTAAAGAAATGTGGTGTGCATACCAAGTTGGAAGTTCCTATCTTCTGCGGTATGAGAATTTCGTTTCAAAAACTCATTTTTGAGCTATCATTTGTCTGGCAGCTATGTCAAGTAGTCGTCCGAATTCAATCATTCTTTACTTCGCACATGCTTTTTGTACTGAATACCAAAATTTACATTCTTCACAATATAAATATCATAGTTTTAAACCAAAAAATCATTTTTTTAGATTCACTTATTGGAAAATCAGATGTTTTAATGATTCAATTCAAATAATTTCAACTGTCTTTATTCTGGTAAAGAAATATGTGGTGCATACCTAATTTGAAGTTCTTATCTACAACGGTATGAGAATTTTGTTTAAAAAAACTTATTTTTGAAAACAAATTTTGTATGAGAGCTATGTAGTTGGTAGTTCAGTTTCAATGATTTTCTCTACCATTATTCTTCTTATAATATACGTGCAGAATACCAAAATATATATTTCTGACTGCATAACTATAAGAGTTTTGGCATAAAAAGCCATTTTTGAAAAGTTTCTTGAATTGGCGCTATTTGTTATAATCCCTACAATCACAGTAAAGTACTCCATCAAAATATTACTCATGATATGTGCGCAAAAAAACAATAAATTTTAACATCTTTCCAGCACAGTTATGAAATTTTCAACTCCAAAACTCTTTTTTGAAAAGTTTTTGTAATACTTATCCAACATTTTTCAAAATTTCAAGGGAACCTCAAGAGAGAACGTTCTCTCTGATATGGAACATTTTTTCCGGAAAATTGCAACCAAGGTTATGGGCTTACAATAATTTCTATGTATTCCATGAAATATTCTGTTTGAAAATTATATGGAAAAAATGCCACAAACAACAGTAATAATCTAGGATATTTCTGAGTAACAGGAGAATCTACTTGCAGCAGGACTTTAGCTTAGCACGTGATAAATTACAGAAGTGTTACCACAGTATTCATATGATTTGAAAAAAAATCACTTTTGGGCATTGTAGAGAGCCCTAATTATTTTGAAATCGCATATCGCCATATAATTCGGCCTTCAATTTTTCCCGGCGCCATAAATACTAACGAAATTTTTTTAGTATTATTTTTATTATTATTATTTTTTTTTGTATTCAAACGCTGCTGGCATTTTTCCTCTCGAAACAAAGGCAAAACGTAAATTTCGTTACCAACAAGAAGGGGGGAAGCGAAATCGGCGAAAAACATTGATGCAACATATTTTTTTATAAACGCTCTTACGTATTCACAAACAAAAATATATCTATGTAATATGTCAGTGTGAACCACATTTTTTCATACATGCCTGAGTGTGTGTTTGGCGTTGGCCTTTTTAATGCCGGATATGCTAACTGCATACCAAAGTGGCAACACTTTGCAACATAGTGTTGCATATGCGCGTTGCGGATGCATACAGTTAGCTGGAAACGCTAACATCGCCAAATCATAGCGATATAAGCGTATTCCCTGAATTTATTTGTACTTTTTTTTTTTTTTTTGCTTTTTTTCACTTTGTCACTTCTGTCTGATTTTTCATTCCGCTAGCATCAGTGTCAGCGGTGTCGTTGCTGTTGGTCTTTGCAGTGTACAGTTGTCTGTTCCGTCGCTATAAAAGTTGATCCTGCCAACACTTTTGCATTCAACGTTGTGGTGTAATAATTCTTTTCTTTTCAAAATTTTTTTTTATCAAATATGCTATGAACAAAGTTATATGTTTTTTATGGGTTGCGCTGATTTTTTCGCGTTTTGGAAGATCCTGCCCGTAGGGAAGACTACAATATATGTGTAGCTGCCTTGCAAACGTTCATTCAAACATGCTATTTCAAGCCATTGCTTCTAGAACTAAGTAACGATTTTAGTAAAATTTAATTTGAAATACGTATGATATTTAAAATATTTTTTATACAACATTTAGAAATCCGCCAGTTATAACGTTTAGCTGGCATACAAATAATGCTTCGAAAATGAGTTTCTGAGTGAAAACTCAAACATTGAAGCAGCTAAAAACATGAAATTTTATGTTTAGCACATACATATATACAATATATCATGAGTAAAGGACTGACAATGAAAATCATCGAAATCAAAGCACAAAGCTAAATATCCCGCAAGCAAAAGTTGATTGAAAAATGACATATGTACATGTTCAAATTGCTAAGAAATGGGTAGCTAGGAATTTGATATTCCATATTTGGCACACATATAATATGTTAAGGGCTGACAGTGAAAATCATCAATATAGGAGCTTTAAAACAAATAGCTCCCATACAAAAGTTGGTTCAAAAATGCAATTTAAGGGCAAAACTCTAAGAAAACGATAGCTAGCACTCTGAAATTTTATATTTAGCACAAATATTTGATTTAATGGGCTGACAGTTAAAATCAGCAAAATCGAAATGCTAAAACTTATAGCTCCCATACGAAAGTAGGTTCAAAAATGCAATTCAAGGGCAAAACTCTAAGAAAACGGTAGCTCGGATTCTGAAATTTTATAATTGGCACAAATACTTTAATTATTGGGCTGGCAGTGAAGATCATCAATATCGGAGCTTTAAAACATATAGCTCCCATGCAAAAGTTGGTTCAAAAATTAAATATGAGGTCAAAACTCTAAGAAAACGGTAGCTAGGATTCTCAAATTTTATATTTAGCACAAATGTTATAATTTATGGGCTGACAGTGAAAATCACCATAATCGAAATACTAAAACTTATAGCTCCTATACAAAAGTTGGTTCAAAAATGCAATTTTACGTCAAAACTCTAAGAAATGGGTAGCTAGGATTCTGAAATTTTATTATTGGCACAAATGCTTTAATTATTGGGCTGTCGGTGAAAATAATCAATATCGGAGCTTTAAAACAAATAGCTCCCATACAAAAGTTGGTTCCAAAATGCAATTTAATAACAAAACTCTAGGAAATGGGTAGCTAGGAATCGGAAATTTGTTGTTTACAATAGGAGGAAAGTGCTGTCGGTAAATACTATATAAATTTAATTATTTTAACCCACAGTTGCGCTACAATATATTGCTCAAAAATGTAATTTTGACTCAAAAATCCATTATTTGCTATAAACATAGATGTATGCATAAAAAACATTAAAATAGCAGTGCTAAAACAGATTGTTTAGTTATATTTTAATAACGATAATTCTACTAGTAGCAAGATAAAGAAAAAACAAAAACAAATTTTAAAATTTGAAATAAAAATAATCATTTAGTGCTGAAATGGAAATTAAGTGTTTTTCTATTTCAGCTGAAAATTAAATAGTTTTTCAATTTTTTGAAAAACATAAAAAAAATTAAATATTAATTTTGTTTAAAAAATTTCGTTATTTAGGGTGTTAGGTATTTAAGTATCTTCGCTGATATAATATTTTACCTGCTACTTTACATTTGAATTATTTTATAGTTTACCTTACTCTCATTCCAATAATAAAAATATATATTAATTTTTTCTTACAGATATTGGGCGGTGACTAATATCGATTACATTCATTCGCGCACAAGTAAACGTGTCTTTCTTATGATATTTTGTGTTTGGTCAGCGGCTGTTATAGTCTCTCTGGCGCCACAATTTGGTTGGAAGGATCCCGACTATTTGCAGCGTATAGAACAACAAAAATGTATGGTTTCACAGGATGTTTCATATCAGGTGAGTAGCCATAGAAGTTTATATAGATCTTAAAGGAGTTTTCAAACGCCTCTCCACAACAGCTGTGCGCTTGGAAACTGGCGCTGAAGACGCCCGCAGCTCTATATCCCTTTTCCCTAGAGTATTTCTTAGAGATTGTAGAATATTTAAGAGTCCACAACTCCATAAATAAAATCTATCCAAAACCCATCCTTTTCTATTACTCTAAATGTGTAATTGAAGATACCTTAGCAGCAGCTTACCTTATTAGAGAAGCTGAAGTGCAAATAGATGCGCCAATTACCAGCTTCATACCAGTGAAATACTACTTGCATAGATAAATACTAATTTTACAGGATTAGGACAGATTTTTTTGTAAGATTTGTTTCTGCATTATAAACCTTTCAGTTCAATATTATCAATTTAGTATTATCAAAGCATTAAGGCCCTCGCGGAATTCAGACTTTGAAACATCAAATATCAAATAGGTTTATTTTTCGACCATCAATTCATTGGCTGTCAGATAACAAAAGGTAGCCCTGCGGCGAATTCAATCAAGCTCACTCAAACTCTTGATCCAGTCAAGCTCTCGATGATACGAAAGTCCGTGCGGCTTTTATTGTCCTCTCCTAATCTATCAGAGCTGCGCTTCGGTCGCAAACACAATGTGTACTCAGTCAGAGTCTTGCCTTCTTATTGCCAAGCTGAAAAACAAAAAAGCTTACCAAATGTGCTTAAACTTGGAAGGCAGCTTTCACGCCCATTAGTAATCTTCCGGTTTTCAGTGATGCGTGCTGACCTCGCCTCACGATCAAGCTAGTACTACATAATTGTATGCGCATCTAAGGTATTCGTCATTAATCGCCGCAATGTCCAAGTGGTTAGCATTGTGTACTGCCATTCGAAAAGTCAGGGTACTTCTCAAACTATAGAAAGCTCATTATTCTACTTGTGCTTGGCCTTCGGAGGGGAATATTAAGCCCTGTGAGTGTTTTTATGCATGAAATTAGAGATACATTCAGAATCTATCAGGCACTCGGCGGCGGCTTAGAATAAACTGTTTGTCTCTCCATTTGCTGGAAAACATCAAAAAGTATCTTAAAATTGCAGGAGGAACTCTGTCGCCAATCGCTTTAGCAGATTAATATAAAATATAGAAATATCTAGCACACCACAAGTACTAAGAACGAGCTTTAAAAGCTGTAAATAATCCAGTAAAGGAAGTAGTTTAAATAGTTTGCGCTTTCCGAGCTCACCGCTAATTGAGAAGCTCCTAGCTCAATATCGATTTCCAGGCCACTCAACCATTCCGCAGCAAAACCCTTGGCCTTTTAAGTCCTTTTTGAACGACACAATATTGCATTAGCGTCTGTATATATTTTTTCAATCAACTAAATTCTTACGAAACACGTGTATTTCTTTATTTATTCATTTATTTATTGCAACAACAAGAAATAACTATTATATCCATACAGAATATTGTACAACATATTTAATTACCTTTTAGGTCTTTGCCACATGTTGCACATTCTACGTGCCACTACTCGTCATATTGGCGCTTTATTGGAAAATCTATCAAACAGCACGTAAACGCATACACCGAAGACGGCCACGGCCAATCGATGTGACCGGTAATAATAATCAGGTGAGTGGTAATTAATACAAAACCAACAATGTTTACTGTAACAATAGTGAGGCACAAACACGCGCACACACACACACACACACACACACTGCGAGTATAAAAGTACAATTAAGCAAGAGAAAGGCTGGAGAGGCGGCCGACCACATTAACAAATTACTCATTACATTATTGCATTTACTCATTACAATGTGTGTGAATGTGTGAGTGTATGAGTTTAGTGTTTGGCAAGTTTCAGCTTACCTGTGAGCGATTGCACAGCTTGAGTTGTGCGCTTTGATCTTGTGTACTGAAAGTACAAATAGGAAGCTGTTTTTTATTCATATCCTATAAATGTATATACATATATGGAAGGACGGGGGAAGTGAAGTAGTGAAATTAATTTTAGGCAAACGATTCAAATACTTGCAATTGTTAGTATGTGCATACTAGGGATGTAGAAAGTTTTCGAACTCGATACCGAAAGGAAGGAAATCAGAGGATGATTCAAAGAAAAAAACCTTCTAAGGTGTCGGTTACTTTGTGGAATGTACTTAGCTGCCGACTAAGCTCTTAGAGATCACTTTTAGCGGACTCATTCAATGATGGTATGACTTCTGTCTAAATATGTCATTAATACGTAGGGTGCAAAGAGATTCCCCAGTTCATTTCGGAGATCAAATTGTTGAGTTTCACTTTCGATCCGGGGATCCCCTAAACTAATATTTTGTTCTTGACAGCCGCAACAGTCAGGGCTCGAGTCTGTCGAGCATTCAAAATTATAGAAAAATATTTTTTCTAATTGCGGGCGCCCCTCGGTGAAGAAATAAAAGCTTCTAATAAGAATCCAATGTCCGCTTGGAAGTGGTTTCGAAAAAATTGGTCCAATTGAAGGAGGGCTCAACTGAAATTTGTATCAACGGTGCCCATTACTTGTTATCCAAAATAAAATTTCAAAAGCTTATCTCGCTAGAAATAAATGAACTTCCTACGATGATGGGACATATTCTAATAGTGAGGCACGCAGAGGGGCTGTACGTAACATCAAACGATTTCTGTTGGAATTATAGAAAGAAAAAACAACTTGAAGCCTTAAGGTACTTCCTTTGCAAATGTCCCAAACCCCGAAGAAGTAAGTTGCAGTATCACGGTGGGGCAACTTTTAGAGATTTGAAGGAATTAGTGGGTACGTTGATTAATCTGCTTTGCTAACTTCACCTGGTTCGTCTGTGGGTACACGCTTTTAAGAACCTCAATGGTATCACAGTGAGACCATTTTATTGGCTAAACTAGCCCAACCTAACCTAGACTAACCTTAAGATCGCATGAAATTATGGCTTATATTTTATGGTTATTTTTGCTATAATCCGTCCTGATGGCAATAGTCGCAAGTTTAGCTTCAGTTTATTCTCCACCTCCGAATAGCTCGTGTCAAGAAAAACGGTCACACGCAGGGATAGACATCCCCTACCAATTAAATCTGTATTCCGGTAACTACCTGACTTCAGTTAAAACAACTGCCGCTTCGCCCTCATATCTCCGCTTTTTTGGATTGACTGGATTACGGTTTCGGCGCCACGACAGCATTTGCATTGTCGCAGATAAAGGTCGATACTTTTGATGGTTTTCCATCATCAACCTGATCTGATCTGTACCCAAAAAATAGTGTTTAGATTTACAATCGCGTTTGACATTTACTTTGTTGTATCCATGAAAGGATCCTACCTAAACTGATTAGATACTGTCATAGAACTTGCTGTTTGCAACCATGAGGCTAAGTTCCTCTCCCAACTGATTTTCTTGCCTACTCATCCAGATCGTAAGCCACCTCCGAAAGGCTGACCGCCTTGTATTAAAAGGTATTTAATGCGAGAAACGCAGTCAAAAAAGTTGAAATCACCTGTGTCCGATGACAGCTGGGCACGTTTCGAGCTAATAACCCCCCAATTAGAAACTTACACTACAAACCACTTGACTACAACAACAAGTCAAGATTTAAAGCTCTAGCTTCTATAACCCTACCTCATTGCATCTTATAAAAGTACTTTCCGGCAATGATGTGAATCAATTACGCTGCTCAATGTTCAGTTTGCAATGTAGATCCCAGTCGAATTCCCACACACTTCTCACTGTAAAGTCCTTAAGACAATTCTACGATATTCTCAACTCATCAGGGAAATCTAAATTTTGAAAAGTAGCTGCACATTTAGGCATTTTAGAATCTACTATTTTCTAGCCACACCAGTGACTTGGGCACTGACGGTTGGGACTGCAAAGCTGTAAGATTAGAATGTACTTTAAACAATCGGTTCGAGTAAACAACTCATATAACTACTTTTATGGCCATCTCTTCATGAAGAAAACATCACAAATGCAACTACTTTTTTACTAACATCACTCAAGACCTCTCTCTCGAAAACTCCTTACTGCGACTCATCATATGTTGTCATCGTCAATGCCTCCGAAGGACAGGAACGATGAGCGACTTGTAGAGAAGGAGCTTTATTCGTAAAGAAATGACTTTTCAGCTGCCAACTCATTTCATAGTAGTAAGAGTAATTCCGCGTTGAATTTCAAGGCTCAAACTATTATAGGGTTAATGCTGGTCTCTAGATAGACGAAATTATCCACGTCGCCGTAGTTATGACTTGGTGGCGTGGGAGTCATGTCGCGAATGCGATGAGTGTTTTCTTGATGGCAGGAGATATTTCGTCTTGTCCTCAGTCACAACCAGACCCATTTGGTTCGCTTCTTTATCAAGTCTGAGAAAAGTAGGTTTCATGGCGTGGTTGTTGAGACCAATCTTGTCAACATCACCGGCTCTTATAAAAGATTGTACCTTTCCTGGGAGCTCTTTCAGTTTACCCAGCCGTATAAGTTTTGCTGGGAAACCAAATTCAGACACTTCCAACCATGCTTTCGAAAGCTGCTTTCAAATCGGCAAAGAGGTGATGTATGTCGATCCGGTTGACTATCAGGTCATTATTATTACAGACACATCCTATAAAGACTGCGAGTCTTTAAGTAAATTTAAAGAGAACAGATCGTACATCAATAACTCGCGCTCGAGCTTTTCTCAAAGGAACCTTCATTCAGATGCCTGACCTCTCAACCGATTTCGGTTTCGCTCTCGTAACCGTTAAGCTGTTCACCACTTCATCTCCAGCATCGCACTTGGTTATTGTTTGAATAAAATTTGCGCCAACATTAATGGTTTCATTAGCTTAATTGCTTTGCAACATTCAATCCTGCGAGATGCCGACCACGTCTCACTACACAGTTTGAACGCAACAAATACAAGCATTGCTGACGCAGCATAATAACTAATTGCAATACTTTTTGCACTTACTGTTTCTATTTTTTCACTTCATTCCACATCTTCTATTTGTGTTTTTTTTTTTTTTGTTATTTTTTGGCAGCTCCTCGTGGCTACTCACGCTGCAGGGGACGGCGGCGCGCGCAGTCATCTTGATGAAGTGAAGCAGATCTGGCTGTGGGTGTGTGTGTGTGTGTGTTGTGTTGGGTCAGTGACTATAAATGGTCAACCACAAAATTTAATGTCAGGCGTAATGAAGTCCAATTGTGCAACCACAATTACTGGTATGCCATTTTTGTGTTATCTATATGTATGTGTGTATCTCTCTCCCTCTCTCTCTCTCTGTGACTGTCGGTGCTGCGTTTGTGGTGCAGCAACGGGTGCCAACAGAACTGCCGCGAGATGGCATGCGGTTAGATAAAGAAGAAAATTGTTTATAGAATGACAAAAAGAGTGATCAGGAGAAGAGCGAGCAAACGGGTGGGCGAGAAGGCAAGAAGACGAGCAAGCGAAAGGGGTCGGTTCAGCACAAGCAGACTTACTATCCGGAAATTGTGCAATAAATTAAAAACCAAATACAGGCGGCTAACAGAACTACACTAAACAATAATAACATTGCTGGCAGCAGAAAAAGAAGAAAACATAACAAGAAAAACATGATAAAATAACAGCAAATAATTCAAAGTGCAATGTGAAAAAGAGAATTGCGAAAAATTACATTGCGTGCTGAGAAAAAAAATTCTTGGCAGCAAAACAATTACCAACTAAAGCACTGGGCAAAGGCTTACTAAGGAAGAAGAAGAAGAAACAAGTTCAACACAAATGTGGTAGGAAGCAAAAGTGCAAAGTAAAACTAGTCGGAAATTAAAGATAAAACTAATAAAAGTGCTGCAGCAAAAGAACTTTTTTCACACGCAAAAAGTCGCTAGCAAAAGGCTGTTCAAAAAAAGTAGTGATAACTTTTTGAAAGTAAATAAATTTCCTTGATTGGAAAAATTTTTAAGTGCATCTAATGACAATGAAAGATCTAAAGAAAAAAAAGACGGAAAATTAGCTTAGATTAAATTTCACAAAATTAAATTTCACAATACAAAAGTACTTGTAGGGTAGGGTTTTGAAGGCAGAAAAAAACAGGTTTTTACAGGTTTTTTTTCGGGCGTACGGTGAAAGTAAATTTATTTCTGATTATTGTACATTAAAGAGTAGTAATTGAACTATTTATATTCTGTAAAATATTGGTTGAAAAATATTGAAAATTGACCGAATGGCAGCAATTCTTCGCAGGCGCCTCAGAAAAAATACATTTCATCTGAAATGAAATAACCAAAGTTTTTCCATCAATTTTTATGTCCCTCTAGGTATCCCTATCGAGTTTTTCCATTTTTTTTTTAATTTTTGAACTTTTTACAAGACTTGATTTTTGGCCAAAATTCATGACTATTGTTGTTAATAACAAAAAAATTACAATCAAAAACGAAAAGATCTCGACAGGGTTACCTCATAAATTATGTAAGGAAATGCTGTAAAAAATTTGAGAACGATCGGTTGAATAGATTTTGAGATACAGAGTGCACCGACTCAAAAAACATCGATTTGAGAAAAACGCGCTTGAAGTTTTTCGTAGGTAGTCGTACGAGACCCGTCAGGTAGTCGTACGAGACCCGCCTACTTCCAAAGCTATATCTTTGTGAGTTTTGCTCCGATTGAC